TATTTCTGCTTGTAAAATAAATGCGCGTGAATCGCATACAAAATTGCGAGGAAAAAAATCGAGTAAAAATAATATTGTTACTCAAAACTGATAAAGTTTTCGCAGAGCGTCTAATAATTTGGCGGCCAGCCGATAAATTATTGAACGCGCCCGGTTTTTAGCCCTCTTCCGACGGTCTCCGGGCCTTCCGTCGACGGCCGGTTGATTTATCGCGGCGGAAAGTACGAAAAATAACAAGAGAGGCATAAACCCGGGGGCCGCGTTCCTGAAATAAAAATGTACCACCGGAACCGCGAAAGTCCCGCGCCACGTGGGACCGGGCGGCTTCGGGTTTACATGGAAACGCGCTAACGAACCGCTTTTCCCTCGGTTTCCCGTTGAAAGAATCCGAGCGAGGGTCGTTAAAGGGTAACGCGATGGTAGATGCTGGCTAGGACCGGGTAAATTGAGGCCGCAGTCGAGGGGTTGGTTTTTAAATGAGGAATGATTGAAGAATTCTGTTGGCGCACCGGAGAGGTTGTAGAAACTTCTCTCAATGCCTTTGGAAACATTACGTTTGCTGCTGATTTAATTTCGATAAAATATTATATCAGAATTCTGAGGTAAATTCTATGTTCGTGCAACGAGACTGGAACGAACCACGGCTTCTCAACGGAAATAATCTTACTCGAGTGGTCGAAGAAGAAATTCGTGGATTCCCGCTCACACGGGAAGTCACGTTTTCGTATTCCGACCTTGAATACGAGTCCTCGCCGCGCGGAAATGAATATGGGAGAACGAGGGACAGGAAAAAAGGTCGAGACACCTCGAAACACGAAATCTCTCTCTATCTGTTGGTCTTTTGTAGCGAACGAAACGTCCGGGGGAAATCGGGGAAAGTTTGCGCAAGAGCGTTGCGGAGGACCATTGTGGGTCGAGGGAAGCGAACGAAAGAAAGGAAAAAAAGAAAGTTAAAACCTCGTGAGAGCATTGTTGGTTGCGTCACCGGCGGGCTATTCCTCTAACCCTGATCCCTCTCCCCTCCTTCTTCTCTCGTCTTTCGCCCCGAGCCGACGAGGCCTCGTGTATAATATCAAAATTTATGGCACCGGCCGCTTCGGGCCCTTGCGCCTTCCCGCTCTCAGTGAGCTTCTTCTCTTCAGCACCTTCTGCTCGTACTTTGTTTGATTTTCACTGTCCGAGCTGTCGGAACTGGTGATGCAGTAGTCAAATATTGTGCCTCTTCGATAATTGGAAACAATGATTGGATGGTAAGTAATACTGTCCGATCCTCTTTTACCGTTTTTTCTCAATCAAACTCCATCGCAATATTATACGAATTACACGAAAGAAGCGATGAGTGCTCCTATTAATAATCCAGTCATGAGAACCGGTCGCGGGACGATCAGCATGCCAAAGTAATCAGCGTAATGATCGCCGGCCGAATTGACGTATCGTCAAGATAATATATACGACGGCAGATGCTGTTATGACGTGACACGATCTAACGCGTCATTGATAGCTCTCCGAGCGTCCTCTCTCCGTCCGTTCTCCCCACGCGATGGCTACCCTCCATCAAATTTTCCTATCACCCTCCGTTCCCTTCATTTCCTGCCTTTGCAAACCCTCCCCCGCGCCAACCCCCTCGATGACGCTGTGTCACGAACGGAAGGGACGCGATACGCGCGAGGGGGAATCTCAACCAACCAGCATTCGTAGGCCTTTTCGGTCTAAGAATACCGCGCGAGCCGCGCCCTGTACGACAGAAGCCCTGCGATGCTCTCGATTCTTTTTCAATTTACACCGCGACGCGCATTAAGAGCAAAGAAGGAGCCGTCTTTTACGGTTTTTCCATGGGAGAACGCGGCATCGATTTCGTGAAGCGCGCGCGAACCGGAGAACGCGGCCCCGTACTTCTTCGCGGCAGTAATTATCGGCATTTAATCAAAATGACCGGCCATTAAGGTATATCTAGGTAAGCGATCTAGGCAGGAGCGGACAAACGAGCCTGAGGAATGCTCGCCGGTAGGAATCCACGCGCGGCGACGGTGGTCGCTCGGTGGTGCTCGTCCGGTATCCGATCGGCACGTCGATGAAATTTGTTGACGCGTCGGGAGAAAAACGGGACTGTGACGTGTGTCGAGCAAAACGGCGCGCGGTATCACCGGCGAGCGAGCCTCGACGGTGAGGAGAAGAACCGAGGAGCCGACGAATTGCGGCTGACGCTGGAATCCACGTTTTTTTGCCACGGACTCCATGCCGGACCGGCGACCCGGCATGGAATCCGCCGCCTGGGAACAATTACAATTAAAGAGCGGTTAAGCGAATTGCCGAACGCAACGCGCGCGGACCGATCGCGGCACCCGCGATCTCTTTTCGAAGAAACAATCATTTCAACGTCGTTAGTCGTTGCTTCGGGAAAGCGTCTCCTTCTTTGGTCAATCGAATTCGACGTTTCGGACAAATTTAGATGCTGACAAAATTTTTGATCCACTCTATATGTAATGTTGACACCTCTGCCGAATGGCTGTGACGCGAAAACGGGAAAACGTAAAGAAACGTGGGAAGAATTTGGCTGTCCACGCCGGTCCTAATTATTGTAAGGGGAAACGAACACCAACGTGTCATTGCGCAATACTCCTAACGAAAATTGTGTCGGCAGCCAGCTGAACTATTAACACACAGATTTGTAAAAAAAAAAAAAGAAACAGAAAATCTATTGTCAGTTATTTTTCCCATCCTGGCACATCCACACATCCACGAATTAAATACTTGCTTGAGGAACAATTGAAGCATTTCTCCTGACACAAACAGGATTAGATACAATTAATTAACGAGAACTAGACGGGCGAGCTGGTTACGTCGAGTTGCCGGTTTATGGAAATAAAAAACGTATTCACGTTAACGAGATCAACGGGCCACGTGTTACGAAGCAGACGCACCCGCGCCAATAACGATTAATCTTTCAACGACTTCGATTCCCGCTACCTGTACAATTTATTCGTTCCTCGATCGCGCTTAGCGGCGCGACGTGCTTTCGTTTATTTTTACCGGGCCACGGCTTTCGATTTCATCGTGCCGGAAGAAGTGCCGCCGGGTACGAACGAGAGC